CTTTCTATTTCTTTCTCTTTAATTTCTTTGTATTTCTGTTCTTTCTTCTTTGTTATTTCTTCCTCTTGTTATTTGATTTTATCTTTTGTTTTATTGTTTTCTTCTTCTTATTTATTTCTCTATTTCTTTCTTTAATCTATTAGTTTCTTCTTCCATTTCTTTTGTTTCTCTAAATTCAATTTTAATGTTTATATTTCTTCTTCTTTATGATAGAATTCTATCTGGTGTTTACTCTTCATTCTTTCTATTTCTTTATCTCTCTTCTTTACTTCTTCTCTCTTTTTCTTATTTCTTCTTCTTTCTTTTGTATTTCTCCATTTCTTCTATTTTTCTTTCCATTTCTTTTATTTCTCTTTCTCATATCTTTCTAATTATCATTTTCTTCTCTTCTTCTATATCTCTTTCTTATTATTGTATTCTTTCTTTTATTATTATTTCTTCTTTTCTTCAATCTCTATGCGTATTTCTTTTCATTCTTCTTCTTTCTTATTTAGTTTTTCTTTCACTATCTTTTCTATTTCTTTAAATCTCTTCATCATTTTTGTATTATTTTCTTGTTTTCTTTTGTCTCTCCTTCATTGTCTTTTCTTGTAATATCTTTTGCTTCTATATCTTTTACCTTGTTTATTCTCATGATAATATTGATTAAACATTTTACCTGTATTATGGTATTTGTGGTTATATTAATTACTTTTCTTTTTTATTATAATTGTGTTTATTTATAAATGATATTATATGTATAATTATGATAATTATTATTAAAGTGATTATGGATATTATTTCATTAATATATTGTAGTTATATCATGATAATATCTTCTAAATCTATTTGTTGGTGTATATTTATTTCTATATGATTTTCGTTACATTCTTATACTACATAAATAAACTAAACTGATAAAAAAATTAAAGAAATAAGAAATAAAATAAAGATATTTCAAAGTAATTTCAATAAATGAGCTAATAAATACACATGGCACTAAATTAGTTAAAGAATTAAAAATATAAATTGACAATATAAAAAGTCAACAATTTTGTAATTAAAAATAGAATGGATATCATGAAATAATGTCTCTATCACAACCATTTCATAAAGTTAATTAAAAACAAGAATGATGTATTCTCCATCTGGTTGAACAATATAAAACAATCTATCAATACTTAATTAATTTATACTGTGTTGTGTAGTTTTTTATGAATTCTTCTATCAATTTCTTAATTCTTTATTCTCATGATTTCATTCTCATTTCTTCTATTTATCATATAGATAATATTCAAATCTTATTATTTTCATCTTTCATTGTATAATCTCATTTTAATTTCATTTAACAACAATAATTAAATAACACTATTATATGTTAATCATTCAAATAATGATAATATGAATTTTATATTTTTCAGTTTATAAAAGTTATGATAAAATGATAAATGAGAGTAATGAAATAAACTTAATCATTTTATTTAATTTATTATCTAATCAAGTTATTCAAATTATTCAATGAAATATATTATCATTGCATTTCTTCTGTTTTGTGTTAGTTGCAAAAAAAATTAAATAAGAGAAAAGTGAAGAAAAAGAATGATATAAAAGAAAAAAGTGAAATTATGAAGTAGAAGAAGATGAAAAGAATAAAAGTAGAATGGTGAGATTATAAAATGAAAGAAGATCAAAAGGAAAAATTCAAAATGAGATAATAAAATATGAAAAGAATGATGAATAAAGGATGCATTTTTATTATAGAAATTAGAAATATGTAATAAAAAAAAGCTTTTAATTTATTGATAAATTATTTAACATTATTTTATTCTTTTTTATTTTGGGGTTTTTAGGTGCATTATTTCTTCCCTTATTTTGGTTCCCCTTATCAGAATAAAAAAAGATATTATTTACAATAAAGAAAAGAAAGAAGATACTGATATAGAAAAAGAAGGTAAATGAAACAAATAATAGTTAATAACATAACAAATAATTCAGAAAGTAAAACAAATAATGATAATATAAATAAACAAAAGAATGTTAGTTGTACACAACATGTATTTAATATTCTTTCTATTCGCATCTCATTATTATTCTGTTAATTGTTTATATTTCTTTTTTAATTCTAATTTTTATTAATATCACATATTATTTATTATATCTTTATTATCATATCAATTATATTATCATTATATTTATTTATTAATCATTTTATATCAACCAAATTAATAAAAGTTATATAATATAGAAAAAAACATGATAAAAATTAATGAGGATTATTTTGTTTATTCATCATTTCATCATTATTTTATTTTGATTAATTGATGTATTTGAATGTGTTATGGATTGTTGATTTATCTTTACTTATTTAATTCATCTTTATTGTAATTTATTCTTTGTGTTTTTATTCTTTTTTGGTGTTGTTCATCATTTATTGGTGTTGTCAAATTAAACCATTTTAAATATAATTTAAAAAGAAGATAATTACAATAAAAACACTTCATGTGAAGTACTTTCTGATATATTCATCCATTTATTCTCTTCTTCATTATTGATGATGAATAATGAATTAATGTATTGATCATCATTTCTTAGTATAATTGTTTTACCTGTTCCTGTGATGAGTCCTTTAATGTATTGATTGATTAAACTTCCAATTTCTTGAATTCTTTCTTCTTTCATTTTCCATTCTTCTCCAATTCCAATTTCTTTGATTTTGATCATTTGGATTGTTTTCTTTGCACTTTTGATTGATCTCTTTGTGATTTTATATCCAATGTTTTCTACCATTTGAACCATTGTGTTGAATGTTATTGCTGATTTGTTTATATCCCTTCTTCGTTTTGTGTTTTTGATGACTCTTTTCTTTGTCTTCTCATCCATCTCTCCTTTCTCTTTCATCTCTTCTTCATAGCCAAGTTCACATGATACATTGATTGTTATTCCAAACTTCATTGCAATTGAATTAAAATAGATTTCGTTGATGCTGAATAGTTGAAGTGATTTTATAGCAAAACGACTTGGTGCATTAATTTCAATGGAGTACCCATTAATAATAAGTAATCCAATGATTACACCTTGTTGGATTGCTTCGTATGTTTTTGATTCTCGTTTGAGAAGTGTCAATTCATTTGGATGTTCTGACGAAAATTCCATTTAATGTAAGAGATCAAACAGACAACCTATTAGTCATGACAACAAATAATCAAACTCAACATATCAATAAATTAAGAAACTACAATTTGGCTGATTAATTGTCTGTTTTTTATTTTTTATTTTTTTTCTTATTTTTAATAATAATGAAATGAAAAAATAACAAGTTTATTCTTAATTTTAATTAATGAGATAGTGTGAAAATGTATTGTTCTTATCATTTGTATCATTGTATTCTTTATCCAAAAGAATTTAGCGTTGAAAGAATATTCAAATTCAATTAGTAATCCACTTCTTTTCAATCCATTCAAAATATTCTGTTATTTCTACACTTCTTCCATATTCTTCTAGTTTCACTCTATCATTAAATTCAATGTCTTTAGGCACTTCAATGTCAATTCTACAGAAGTTGTCTCCTAAATAATACTTTCCTGTTTTTTCAGAGAACTCTCTCTAAATGTTAGTTATACTTTCTCATCATCAAAAACACTAACAAACTCTACTTAACTGAAATATATTGACCAACTCACTTCCCCATTTTATAAATCCACTTGACCCATACTTTTCCATATCATAACATCTTGGTTCAAAATCTCCATCTGAAATATTCAAACAAATAATGTTATCTAATTCTATTCCCATTTGACCAATTAAATATGGAATACACAATACAACTGGATTATTCTCAATTAACATCCCACTGAGATATCCTTGATACTCTTCAAAATATCCTGGAACTGCTTCACTTCTCATACACAAATCAACACATGTTATATTTTCATATTTTTCTTTGAAGTTAGTCATTAAAATTGCATGATGAGTTCGCTCTTCATCTTCTGGATTCTTAACAAATGAGTCTGCTTGTAATGCGTCTACTGCAATTAAATAATTAATGTCTTTGACTTTCATTTTTCCAAATACTTCTTCTAAAATAACATGAAGATAACAATTATCATACATCACACCAGTAATTCCACCTATCATTCCTGTTCGTGATGGGTACATTTCTAATATCAACCTCATTATCATTTTGATTGTTGTTAAATCATATCCAATTGATATCATCAAAACTACAATACTTGATAGCTGTGTTCCACTAACTAATGTGATCTCATCAAAGAACTTTGGATATTTTGTTACAATTTGTTCTAATATACTAATCTGCATCATTACAGAACTATGACTTCCATCCAACCCAAGCATTTTATACATTTTTTGATTTCTTTTTCTTTCTACTTTCGTTGCTTTTGAAATAATTTCTTTTGCTCGTTCTTGGACTTTTTCAATCAAGTAGTTGTTGTCATCATTCCAGTATGAAACGACTCTGTGTTGTTATTCTTTGTTCTTTGTTTTATTTCTAAATTTCAAACTTATTGAACATTGTTGGTTCTTTTGTTTCGTTCATGCCCTTCTAATTTTTTAGTTTTTTCTAAACTCATCGAAATTATAATGATTATAAATAACTTTAAACATTCAGTGATGAATTTGATTTGTTTGATGATGTTTGGTGTTCATAAATACTTATTAATCTGAACATTGAAGAATAAAAGAGTTACATTAATTAAAATACAAATTAATATGATAAATAAGTACATTATGTTTTTAATTTAATACTCTTCTTAATATTAGAATTTTCATTTATTTTTATTCTTCCTCAACAAATTGAAGATATTATGATTTTGTGTTGATATAAACAAGTACTTTTCATGAAATAAAAGTAAAATAATCATTCAACTATTCGATAAATGTTTAATTGTTTATTACTAAATATTGAATCAAAATAACTTCAATATTATGTTTACAAAGTATTCATTAACACATCATTAAAATGATAAGTAATCATTAATTTAAAATGTATGAAATATTGAATGAGTATAATAAATAATATATTAATTATAAAGTGTTTATTTTCAATGTTAATAATAATAAATAACAATGAAATAATAATATTTAATCTAAATATCTTTATAATTATTCAAATATTATCTTTCTATTATTTTATTTCATTATGATAAAAGAATAAATATGAATGAAATATCATTTCTTCTTATTTTATCATTAATTTATTATTTTATATTATTATTCGTTATTCATTTTATTTATTGAATAATATCATTTATTTTATATTGATTAAAATGTTTATTCTTATTTAGTTGATATATATCATCATTAAACATTCTTTCATATTTATTTATCAAATTCATATAAAATTGAATTGAATGAAATAATCATTTTATTAAATATATGGTTGTATTATTATATTATACATATAAGATATATTCATTTTTATTGTATTGAAAATATAAATTATTTTTATATCTTCTTATTTTTAATTTCATTTTATTCTTAAAATTCAAAATACATTATGAATTGTTTATTTTATTTATTATCATTTTCTTATTGATCATTTCTTTTATTTTAGATTATGTTCTTTCATTTTGATGTATTTGTATTATTTTATTTATTCATATTTCTTTTTATCTTCATTTTATATTAGTTTGTTATTTTATTTTGTATGTTAAATTGTTTACAATTACATTATTCTATTATTTATTAACATAAGGTAAATTTACTTTCAAAACATATTAATATAATCCTAAATTGCGTATGGACTGAAATTAAATGTGTAAGAACAGATGAATTAACAATAACAAAAGACTCTTTAACTATTATTTATTCATTGAATGTGTGAGATTTTGTTGGTTGTAGTGAAAAATAAAGTATATATCCAATAACCCCAAGTAATCCTAACACAAAAATTACTGAACCTGATAAGAAAAATATGTTCCATGAATGATAATGTTTTCTCCATCGAATTGGCTCATTCATAGAAACTCTATAAATGTTGAATGGACTGTGCAAACACTTTACTGAACTTGAATCTCTATGAATTGTTTTCCATGTAAAGTCACACACATCTTCTAAATGAAGAGAAGTTTCTTTTTTTCCATCATTCAATACAACTGACTCAATAATTGTTTCATTCCATCCATTTGGAGAATATAAAATATACCCATAATTTTGTGAATCAATTTTTGACTGTGGGTTTGTTTGAAGAATTAAGTTAGTTTCTTTAAATGACACAGTTGAAGATAGGGCAATTGCATGTTCATTTGGGTAATTCATTTTAATGAGTGAATAAATTAAATCAACACGATCATTCTCAATTGAAAAAAACATTGCATTTTGTTCAATTTCTATTTGGCATTGAACAAGTTGAGTAGTGAAATAAATCCCTTCTATTTCTAATGAACATTTGTTTTTAATGGAAACAATAACATTATCAAGATATCCTCCAATAATCACTGATGCATTATTATCTATAATAACTCTTTTTTGTTCTACTGAAGATGTAAGATATTTAACAATATAAATATCTCCATCAAATAATTGTATTTCACCACTTTGGTGATACAAAACATCTATTTGTATTGTTGAATCAATGGTCATATTAGAAACTGATAAAACTCCAATTTCTACTTCATTAGAATAATTTAAATTAATTGAATTAGCAGAAATGAATGGAATTGTTCGAGTTGTATATGGAATATGTAATGTTATTTGTTCTTGATCTTCAAAAATAAAAGCACAATTAGATTCTTTTTGGCAATTACACTCAATATCATTTAGATAATATTGATGAGTACTAAGGATAGGAATATAACATTTGATAAATGATGATAATTCATATTTCTGTTTAAACTGAAGTGAATTGAATTCATTGATAAGTGAATAATAATTATTATCAACTGAATGTGCTTTTTGTTGAAAGTCACAAAGATATAATCCAACTCCATCTTCATCTAGTATAATTTTTTGTTCACTTACACCTTTATCATTTTCTTCTCCATCAAAAATAATAGAATGAGGGTGTTCTGTTGAAATGAGCATCAAACAACCATCTTGATCTATTGATTGAATTTGATTATTTCTTTGAATTAAAAATGAACAATCACTTCCTTTCCATATTGGATTATATGAATCACGTATAGTTATTACATTATCATCCATAATAATGTAATATTTTCCATTACTAACTATAGAAGATGATCCTTCAACACTAATATAATCATTACTAAATATAATTCTTCCTTCATTCTGACTGTTAAATTGTATTATACCTTTTATCATAATTTCTGTATCTGTGATATCCATGAACTCTCCAATATGAACAGAATTTAATTGAATATATTTACTTTTTTCAGAAACTAATGTACTGAGAGTAGAATTGATTATTTCAGCTCTATCATCATTAATAAATTGACCTATAATACAATTGATAATAACTCCATTTCCTTTGACGATATGGACTTTTTGAAGAGAAAGAGAATCTATGGTTATTGATTCTTCCCCTTCATAATTTATTTCTATTTCACTTATTTTCTTTGGTAATGTTGTAATAGTCATTGATTGAGTAATAATTAACTTAACACTCTGAATTTCTTTCTCAGTGTTATATTCATCTGTCAAACATTCTAAAGAATTATAGCATTCTTTTATTTTACAATTAACTTTTTTATTTGAAGTTATCACATGTAATTCAGAGTTATCACATCCAATTATAAATTGTTGTTTGTTATTTGGAATATCCTTATGTATATTCCATTCTTCAAGAGAATTAAAGAAAAGTAATATTATATTAGGAACTGTTTCAATCTTTTGTTGACTCTTGAATATCATCAAATCATCAGAATCTCCAATAACCTCTATTTTTCTTATTTGTGGAACTTGGTTACACTGAACAGATGGAATACTTGTTTTATAAACTAAACCATCAATAGTAGATTGTTGGTCTAAATAAATTGAAGATTCTGTATTAATGATTAATTTTGTAATAATTGACTGACCAATCACATTTACCATTCCAAAAACATCTATTAGATTTATAGAAGAAGAGTCAATTGTGCATTGTGTATCTGATGATATAACAATATCTAACTTCTCATTTCCTTGTTTTAAAAAGGTATTAGTATATAAATTCAATTGGTGATAACTTTGTTGAGTAGAATCAGTATGTGTATGTTCATCAATAGTAATAGAGTCAATAACCATAAGTACATTATCAATACCATCATCATGATAAATTTCAATTGAGTTGTGATTAATGGAGTTATCAGTTATCATTTTTAAATTAGAAATAGTTGTGTTTTGATTTATAGTAATACTCAATGAATCTGTCTGAACTATGAGAGAAGTACTATCTAATGGATAGTAAACTTCATTCATTTCTAGTGGAATAATGATTTGACATTGTTCAGGATTATCACAAGAGTATGATGCTTTATCGTTCATAAATGGTTTCTTTAATGTACAAACACATTGTTCACCATAACAAAAAAGATAAAAAAAAGATAGTAAATAAAGTGGTACTTTCATAGAGCTGAAATGAACTGAATCTCTTCTAATGACCAAAGTGATTGAAATCAATCACAACCATTATTTTCGTTAAGTTAAGATTAATTGACAAAATAAGAACTTATAAATTCTAAAAAAAAAAAAGGATTTTAAAGCAAAAAGATAATAACAAAATAAGAGAGTTAAAAAGAGAATTCAACGTTAAAACTGGTAATTTAGAATTAACAGATGAACAACTCCAAATCATTAAATAATCAATCATGTCACAATATGCACAACAATATAAAGAACTTGCTGAAAAAAAAGTAGAAGAACAAGCCAAAGCATTTCTTACACAATTTGTTTTAGAGTTTCAAGGTAAATTTGATGAAGTATTAGATACTGCTACATCATTTAAAGGATATACTGATGGAACAGTTGAAACACTTGAAGAAGATGCTATGCATGTCTTCATGGAAAAGAGAGGAGAAACTACAACCATTCAAGATTTAAGAGAAAGATTAAAAACAAATGGAATTGAATTCAGAAAGAGGTTTGCTTTTATTGATTATATGATGTTTGAATATTGTAAAAATATCAAAGATCTTTTTGAAAAACGAGGAGGTGCAGCTACTCCAGAAATGTTAAAAGCATTAGATGATGCATTAGCTGAATTCCAAAAAGTAATGGACATTAAGAATGCTCGTTTACAAAAAATGAAGAAACTTGAAAGTGATGCAGCTAAAGGTGGTGTTAAAGGAATGGCTGCTCAAAATGAATTAGCACAAATGAAAAGTGAAGACCAACTTGCATTAAATAAAATGGAAGTTACAGCTGCTGCTAAAAAACGAAAAGCACAAAAAGCTGTTGAAAATGGAGATGATTCTAAGGCACGTGAAAAAGCTCTTAAAGAAGAAAATGCACGTTTAGAAGCTGAAAAGAAAAAGAAAGAAGAAGAAGAAAAACGAAAGAGAGAAGAATCAAGAAGAAGATTAGCTGAACGTGCAGCAAAATTCAATCAAGCATAATTGAAATTTAAACATTCAATTTATTATATAATTTTATTTATTAACTTAAACAAAAAAATAAAGAAGAAATCAATTAATTAGATGTTAATGAAATTCAGCTTGTTCCATAACTTCTAATGTTTTATGTGTCATTTCCATCCATTCTTGTAATTTTTGACTCACAAAGGTAAATTGTGTTTTATCTAAGATTCGAGGAAGAACCCAAGTAAATGTTGCTTCAGAAGTTGTTTGAGAAATATATCCTTTAACTAATCCTAATGACAATGCCCTCATTATAAGAATTTCAACATATTCAATAGGGACATGAGTAGTTGATGAAATTTGCTCGAAACTGAAAGTACGGTTTTGAGATGGAGATCTAAAGACCATTTCCATTAAAGAAACAATAGATGCTTTTTCAATAATTTGATTTTTATTTTGTTTGAGAGATGGTTCAGTGTCAAATAATGTTGATAATTCTTCTTGAACTTGAAGATATTGATTCATATTTCCATTATTAATAGCTCTTAATAAAGTAATTAATTTACCTACTCGTTCTTCATTTTGAACTGAATCACAAATAGGATTATTAAGAAATTCTCCAAAATTATATACTTTATTTCCTACTAATGCTGCAATAACCAAGTTTGTTACAAATTTTATTTTATCATCTAATTCCATTATACTTTGATCAACAAACTTTAAATATTTTACTCCACTAATAAAATATTCATTTGCATCATTTTTACTTTCATAATAACATGTACATAAATAATGATATTGACTATATACAATAGCCTCTAATCCTTCTTCATGTTCTAAAAGTCTCGTTAATTTATCAATTTCATCACGTGCTCCATTATTATCATTTAATAACAATTTGTAATATCCAATTATTGAATAACATAAACACCGTGCTCCAAGATCACTTTTAACATCATCCATAATACTATTAACTAATTCAATAGCTTTAGAATATTCTTTAAATCCTTTACAAACAGCAATAACAATTTGAGTTAATTTAATTGGATTTATTTTCTTTTGTATATCACGAATAAATAATTCATAAAAATCACTAATAACTCCAATAGTTTGTAAAAATCTATCATTAACAAATTTTTCACTTTCTTCTGTTAATTGGAAATATAATTTCTTTTCTTTTTCTTCTTGAAGCGTCTTACACTGTTCTGTATAATCAGGATATTTTTGTATTAAATTCTCAAAGAACATTTGACTCATCTTTTCTCTTTCTTTTCTTTTTCTAGTTTCTCTTTCATTTTCTTTTCTTATTTTTTATTATTTTTTTTTTACTCCTTCTCTTGAAGTTTTATTATTTATTTTTTTAAAAACAAATAAATTATTTATATTTCTGTATTAAAAACATAAATTTAAAAATGTTATTATAATAACAAAACAAATGTTAAAAATATTATAAAAAAAATAAAAGAATGAAGAAATAGTAAACCCTCAAAAAAACATAAAAAGAGAAAAACTTTAAAAAAACTAAACACTAATAATAAATATATTGTTTAAATCTAATTTTTTTTTTATCTTTGAGTATTTTGGTTTTATTTGAATATTAAAATTTGTAAAAATTAGAAACATTAATACCAAAGAAATAATAAGTAAGAATTGAGAAAACAAATGATAAATAGAAAGGGTTGAAAAAAACTCAATATAATAAATATATGAGTAAAGAGAAAGAAAAGCTTGAAGATATTTATGTAAAGCTTTCACACAAAGAACAAATTTTAACACGACCTGACACTTACATTGGAAGTATAGAGCGAAATGATGAACAGGTATGGTTATACGAAGAGCCAACAGAACAATACGAAGAAGGAAGAATGGTCCAAAAAGTTATTTCATTAGCTCCTGGACTTTTTAAAATTTATGATGAAATTCTTGTTAATGCAAGTGATAATTTTCAAAGAGATCCTAAAATGACTACTATTAAAGTTACTATTGAAGGTAATTCAATAACAGTTTATAATAATGGGAAAGGCATTCCAATTGAAATTCATAAAAAAGAAAATATTTATATTCCAGAATTAATTTTTGGACATCTTTTGACATCTTCAAATTATAAAGACGATGATAAAAAAGTTACTGGTGGAAGAAATGGTTATGGTGCAAAGTTGGCTAATATCTTTTCTACTAAATTTTCAATTGAAACTTGTGATGGAAAAAAGATTTATAAACAAACATGGAAAAACAATATGTCAGATAAAGAAGAACCAGAAATTGAAAGTGTTAAAAAAGTAGAAGAATATACTAAAGTTACTTTTACTCCAGATTACAAAAGATTCCAAATGAAAGGAATGGAAGATGATGCTAGAAGATTATTAATAAGAAGAGCGTATGACATTGCAGGATGTAATCCAGGTAAAAGGATTTGGATTAATGGTAAAAAAGTTTGTTTTAAAAATTTTGCAGAATATGCTCGAATGTATGTAGGTGATGAGCCAATAGTTTCTGAGAAAGCAGGAGAAAGATGGGATATTTGTGTGTGTGCAAGTAAAGGTGAACCAATGCAAATATCATTTGTAAATTCTATTAATACATCACACGGAGGAACGCACGTAGATTATGTTACAGGATTAATGACCAAATATCTTGCTGAAAAAATGAAAAAGTTAAATAAGAAAGGTGCTGAGATTAAACCATTTCAAATCAAAAATCATCTTTTTGTATTTGTCAATTCATTAATAGAAAATCCTGCATTTGACTCTCAAACAAAAGAAACTTTAAAAACACAAGTTAATAAATTTGGATCAAAACCAACATTGAGTGATAAATTTTTCAAAGAATTAGGGAAATTATCTGTTGTTGATGATATCCTTGCATGGGCTATTAAGAAAGGGGAAATGGATTTGAATAAATCTGGAGGAAAGAAAACAGCTAGAATTACTGGGATTCCAAAATTAGATGATGCTAATAAAGCTGGAACAAAAGAAGGAAATTTATGTACATTGATTCTTACAGAAGGAGATTCAGCTAAAACTTTAGCCGTATCAGGATTATCTGTTGTAGGAAGAGATTATTATGGAGTATTTCCATTAAGAGGAAAGCCATTAAATGCAAGAGAAATAGCACCATCAAAAGTAAAGGAGAATCAAGAATTTGAAAATATTGCAAAAATCATGGGATTAAGATATGGTAAAGTATATTCTTCAATTAATGAATTAAGGTATGGAAGTGTTATGATAATGGCAGATCAGGATTTTGATGGTTCACATATTAAAGGTTTACTCATCAATTATTTCCATACATTTTGGCCTTCATTGTTAAAAATTGATAATTTCTTAGTTGAATTTATTACACCAATTGTTAAAGTTAAACGAGGAAAACAAGAAATTTCATTCTTTACATTACCACAATTTAATGAATGGAAAGACGCAAGAATTCAAGAAGGTCAATTAAAAAAATGGGAAATTAAATATTACAAGGGTCTTGGTACTTCAAAAGACTCCGATGCTAAAGCATATTTCAGTGATCTTGACACACATAAAATCAAATTTGCATATGATGGAGCTAGTTCAGATGAAGTAATTGATTTAGCATTTAATAGAAAGAGGGCAGATGATCGTAAAGAGTGGTTAAAAGGATATGATCCAAATACATATCTTGACCAAGATGTTGATAGCATTAGTTATGAAGATTTTGTGCATAAAGAATTGATATTATTTTCATATGATGATTGTGAAAGATCTATTCCTTCAGTTGTAGATGGATTAAAGCCATCACAAAGAAAAGTGTTATGGACTTGTTTAGAAAAAAATATTATGAAAGAATTAAAGGTATCACAATTATCTGGACTTGTTTCTGAAAAATCATCGTATCATCATGGAGAAGTATCTCTTCAAGCTACTATTGTTAATATGGCACAAAACTTTTGTGGATCAAATAATGTTAATTGGTTGTTACCATCTGGTCAATTTGGTTCAAGATTAGGAGGGGGAAAAGATCAGGCAGCAGCAAGATATATTTATACACGACTATCAAGTATTAGTAGATATCTATGCCCTAAAGATGATGATCAAATATTGGAATATCTAGTTGATGAAGATAGAAGAATTGAACCAAAATATTATTGCCCTATTATTCCTACAGTATTAGTTAATGGAGCTGATGGTATTGGAACAGGATGGAGTACTGCAGTATCAAATTATAATCCACTTGATCTTGTAGATAATTGCAGAAGATATTTAAATGGAGAAGAATTTAAAGAAATGAAACCATGGTTTAGAGGATGGACAGGACAGTTAAGAAAGAATAAAGATGGGAGTGGATATGATTGTTATGGAAAATGGAGAAGATTAGCAGATGATAAAATTGAAATTACAGAATTACCTATTCAAATATGGACTGACACATATAAACAGCATTTAGAAAAATGTATTGAAGCAAAGATTGTAAAAGGATATTCAGAGTACCATATGGTTAATACAGTACATTTTGTTATTGATTTAGTTCAACCAATGAGTGATGAAGATATTTGGACTAATTTAAAATTAGTTAGTAGTGTTAAGACAACAAATATGCATTTATTCAATTCTGAGTATAAAATTACTAAATATCATACTGTCCTAGATATTTTAGCAGAGTTTTGTGATGTTAGAATGAAAGGTTATGAAGAAAGAAAGAAAGCTATTATTGAAAGTATGGAAAGACAATTGATGATATTGTCAAATAAAGTAAGGTTCATTAAAATGGTTATTGAAGGAGATTTAATTATTAATAATAGAAAGAAAAATGAATTATATAAGGATTTAATTAAACTTGGATTTGACCAAATAAGAGATCCAAAAAAAGCAAATAAATCAAAGCCCATTGGTGAATCTGAGGATGCTGAAATAAAAGAAGAAGATGATGACGATGAAGTTGGTGGATATGATTATTTGTTAGGTATGAAAATTTGGACATTAACATATGAAAAAGCAAAGAAGTTGATGGAAGATTGTGATGATTTAAAAACACAAATTGATACTGTTAAAACAACACCAGTAAAGGATATGTGGTTAAAAGATTTAGATGCGTTTGTAAAAAAATATCCACAATGGTTAGAAGAAGAAGAGATTTTGTTAAAGAAAGGAGATAAAAGTACAAAAAGAGTTATTATGGGAAAGAAAGGAAAGTCGACTAAAAAGACAAGTAGAAAGGTAGCATTAACAAGTTCAATAATGGACAAAAGTCCAAGTGAATTGGCTAAAAAATATAAAGCAAAACTAGAAGATTATGAATGGAAAACAATGCCAGATGAAAATACCGAGATCAAGAAAAAAACTATTAAAAAAGTTACAACAACACGAAAACGAAAAGATGAAGATTTGAGTCTAAGTGGTGATGAAAAAACAAAAAGAAAAAGAACAACTAAGAAAACAACAACTAAGAAAGTTACAAAAAAAAGAACAACCAAAGTTTCAAAAGAAGAAGAAGGTATTGATAAAGAAGAAAATGATACTCCTGCTAAGACTTCAAGAAAAAAGAAGACTAAGAAGGTAGTTGTTAAAGAAGAGGATGAAGAAAGTGATTCTATTTTTATTGACGATGATGAAGATGACAATGAATCAGTGAAAGAAATAAAAAGTGATTCAACTGATGATGAAATGAGTGAGGATGAAGAGATATTTGAAGAAGAAGAAGAGGATGAAGAACCAAAACCAAAAAGAAGAAAAAGAGCATTAAAAAAAGAAAAGAGCGATGACAGTTTCATTGTTGATGATGATGATGAAATATGGTAAATTGAATTTATTCAGGAAAATTTTATCTTATAAAAAACAAAAAAACAAATAAAAGAAAAAAGAGAAAAAAAAAGAAAAAAATATCAAAAAAATCTTAATTTTTTAGATCAAGGATGGTTACTTTACTTGAAAAATATGGATTTAAACCAACACATGAAGCAAATGTTGAAGTCTCTCATAGAAGAGGAAAAAGTTCAATTGATCAAAGCACAAGAAAAAACGAAGCGAAGTCAGAATTTAAAAAACTTGATTATGATGATTTAGAAGAGATAGATTTCTTCCAAATAAGGAAATTCTTTGAAAGTCATTCATTATTTTATTCTGATGACCAAATTAAAAAAATATTAAAAAAAAATTTAATTACAGGAGAACGTTTAAATTTATTAGATTTTCAACAGTTTTACGAAGACATAAAAGCTAATTATTTTAATACACCACAAGAATTTGTTTGTTTAATTAATTCAATTAAAACATGAATAGATTTCAATATATTGTTAATAACAACAACATTAAATATTTATCAATAGAAAACAACTCCAGTTAAATGGTGTGATATCTTTGAGGCACAATTAAAAGAAGATGGAGTACCAAGCAATTGTACTAATTATACGAATGGGGATTTAACAATACAACATAATGTTAAACCAATGAACTGCACAGTTACAACACAAAATATTATTTCAGAAAAAGAAATAATTGGAGCAGAACAACAGTTGTATTTAGGAATGTTATTAAATTCAACTACAGAAGTTTGTTTATTAAATAATAAAGTTGAAATTCCTAAACAACAAGTAACACAAACCATTCAATCAGATGTTGAGTTAAGTGATGATCCAGATACTAAATTATTAAGAAAACAAGCTATTATTGATATTAGAACAGTAAAAGGGAATTTATATGAAAATTATAGTAATGACAGTCATAAATCTAATTCTATTGAAAAAGTTATTAATTTGACTAATCCAAATGATGGAGGAATTACGTTTGTTATGCAAATAGAAGCAAGGTCATTAGTTCAATATGAACCATTTTTTGGAGAATTTGCAATTTATGAAGTAATAAATGAAGGGGAAAGTATAGTTAAAGTAACAGAAAATTATTTTGTTGATTTAAACACCGAAGATAATAAAAGAATTGTAAGACAAATTGAAAAAGAAGAATATGAAGGAACAACGTGTTGTAAATTTTTAGTTAAATTAAAAGGAATTGAATCAAAAGACAGAAAGTTTTATGGAGTAATGTATTTTTATAAAATGGCAGAACAAGATATTGAAGACGCTAAAACGTTGTATAAAGATAAAACAGAAAAAAAAGAATTTGAAAAAGAAAGAAAAGAAAATGAATTAATAAATAAAAGTATTTTAAAAGAAGGAAATGAAAATAAAGAAATAGAGATAAAAGAAAATGGTAATGAAGAAGAAGGAATTAAAAAAGAAGATAAAGTTGATATTGAAGAAATTAAAAAAGAAAGAAAGAAGAAATTAGAAAAAAGAAAAGAACAAATATTTAATAAAAGTGTTTATAAATTTTATAAACAACATATTTTTACAGGAATTACTGAATTAAAAAGTGAAGAAAGAGGATATCCTATTTGGATGTATAAAGAAAATATTCATAGTGACAATGATTTATTAAAATTAATTGATAAAATATGTGGAGGAAAAGTTAGACCAATTGGAATTAAAACATGGGAATTAAGAGTAATGAAAATTCAAGATACAAGTGCATATAGAGTATTTGATCCAAGTGGTTTTGAATATAAAAAAAATCCAACAAGTGGAAGTATAAATACATATATTAAACAATTAGAAGATTTTACACAATTTAATACAAACCAAATGTTTTTTACCGATTTTGTAAATAATATATATATTTATCCTAAAGAATTAACTATTCAACATGAAAAAAAGAAATGTAGTTATATTATTCATTGTTATATTAGAAAAGAAGATACTAAATTTCATAGAGAAGATACTTATCTTCCATTATTTTATTCAGAATCAAGTATTAAACCAATTTTTTTAAGAAAAGCAAGTACAAGTGTTTCTGTTAATGCAAAAAATGATACATTTTTAGATGAAATTAAAGCAAAATTACCAATTGTTTTAACTCCACAACATCATTTATTATTTGTTATTCAAGAAGTATTATTAACAAATGAACAAAATCTTCCAATGGAAAAAATGGTAATTAATTCATATTTTGCTTTTCTTCCATTTATTCAAATGGGTAGAATTATTCAAAGTGGTGAACAAACAATTCCAGTTTATAATGGTCTTCCATATGAAAATTATATTACAACTAAACCAACTGAAACAGGTGATAAAACAAAAACAATGACATTAACGTTTAATTTAAGAGTTATATCAAATATTTATACTCAAAGTTCAAATGTTCATAGATTAATAAGTTCTATTCATACAAATTATAAGTCATCAAAAAGTATTGAAAATGCATTTACAGAAATACGTGAAGATATTGATAAAACACATAAATTTGATATGGATTTAACACATACATTACCAATATTGGTTGATCTTATTCTTGGCTTATTTAAAAATGATAATATTGATAAAAATCCTATTTCAAGTCCAAGAAGTATTATTAATTCACCATTACAAAGAAGAATATCTTCAAATTCTTTAATAAAAGAAAATGAACAAGAAAGTGGAAATGCATTTAAATATTTAATATTACTTTCTCATTTATTTGTATGTGATGAATTTAATAATCCAAAAAGAGTACCATTTGAATTATATACAAAATTTTATTTAGAAAATAAACCAAATAAACCTGCTATATTTTTACCTTTAATTACTTCATTAACTAAATTCTTTTCTAATCACCTTAATGCAAAAAAAATTGGTAAATTAGATGGAGTATTTGAATTAAAATATCTTGAAACAACATTAGAAATGCTTCCAGTATTTCTTAAAATGATAGAAAAAAGTTTATTTATTTATTTAGATGCTGCAAAGTTATTATATCAATATGATAAAATTCAAAATGATGAAAAATTTTGTGTTCCTTTTAATAATCAATTAAAAGTATTCTTTAAATATTTTGCTCAATATTTAAGACAACGTGTTGCTTCAAGAGCAACAACTTATATTTATAGTAGTAATAATGCTATTGCACAATTTTTATTAATGCTAATAAGAGGATATTCAAGAAAAACAGCTATGGAATGTTTAGATATTTATATTTCTACTTTGTGTTGTGTTGAAGATTCTGAAACTGAAACAATATTTCTTTCTCATGAAAAAGTATCCAAAAAAAGTGTAATTAGTTCTAAATTGGATGCTCAGTCTTTAAAAAATTGGAAAAATGTTCAAATTTTAAAAGTTGATGTTTTAAAACATTTATCTCAATTTACTTATTTCTATGAATCTAATGCACCTAGAATTACATCAGTTATTCATATTAGTGATTATTATACCACTGCATTTTCTCATCACTTTTTAGCAGCATATATTCAAAGACAATATCTTCAAATGTTAAGAACAAATGATTGTGTTTGTAGATTAGCATTATATTCTATGATTAGTGATGCAGTTAAATTAGATTTAGATCCAAGACATCAACAACCACATGAAAAAGCAGCAATTTCAGAGTTTTATGTTTATTTTATAGATTATATTATTGTTCATGCAGAACAAATTATTAAATTTTGGAGAATTGATTTAGATGATGACTTTAGTAAAGACGATTCTGATTCTGAAGATGATACTCTTGATCAAACTGATTCTGAAGATGAAAGTAATACTACTTTTCTTACTCCAGTTATGACACCTCAAAATTCATCTTCAAGACTTACAACTATTCCACAATCACTTACTGCTCCACCACTTCAATTAGCAGCAAAAACATCACATTCATTATCAAAAGGAGTTATTAATACAAAGAAAATACAAAAAAGTATAGATTTGAATGAAATAAGACATTTTTATTTATACTTACTCTGGATTTTGAAAAATATGGATCTTAGAACATTAACTAATTTACTTAATAAAGATTCACCTGAACGTATAGCTAGTTTATTAAAAATTCTTCAAGTTGCATTAAAGTATATTGGAGATTTAAATTTTGATGTAGAACCATTATTTAGAAATATAAATGAAATACAAAAAGATTCAAGACAAGTTGTATTTAATGTAATTTGTTCAGAAACAAGTAATTCAAATATACCAATATTAAGTAATCTTCATGATGTTTCAGAGTCATATGACTCATCAATTTTTGACGATAGAGGAATGGGTAATAGTAATATTGTGGATAGTGCATTATTAGTTATATTAGAAATAATTATGCATTGTTTCAATAAAAGATTTTTATCATCAGGAAATGAAGTTATGAATGAATTAACAAAATTAATAATTTCATCATTTACAGTAACTTCAGCACCAACATTTTTTAAATATTTTATGGCATTTATTAGAAAAATAGTAACAGAAAATTCTGATTATTTATTTGTTCAAAACCCAACGTTTTGTTATGATTTAATTAATGGTATTATTGGGTTATGTGGTAGTTCATCTCCATCAACAAGAAAGAATGCTACATCTGTATTATATCTTTTTGTTAAAAGTAATTTTGAAAGGGACGAAAATGTTAATTGTGTTAAAATTCATATTACTAGTTCATTAGCATCAAGAAAACTTCTTCCAGAAGAAGAAAGTAATGTACAATCATCAATTGATAAACTAAAACAATGGATTTCATTAGATTTTGCAGAAGACATTATTACTAAAGTTAAAGAAAAGGAGATTAATAAAAACGAAGACCGATATGATATTTATCGAAGAAAAGTAATAGAAAAAAGAATTGAATTATTAAAACTTATTGAAAATCAAAAATCTATTAATGAAGGTATTTGGAGATCAATGAGAAGAGTTGTTATTTATCTTGAAGAAAGGTGGAGTATTGATATGACATCAGATATTGAAGAAACACTTGAAAGAATTAAAAATGAAATTGGAATTAGAGTGAAAAATGAAGAAAAAGCTGAGGTGTTAAGAACATGTATTGATTATCAATTAAATGATTTCTTAGATATTATTAAAACAATTCTTGGAAGATTAATGATAGAAAAAAGAAGAGATGAGTTTGTTGTTATAAAACAACAATGTTTAAATAAACTTCAAAAAGTGTTAAAAGAAATAAAAGATACCTACTTTAAATTTAGATTAATTCAAGTCGATTTTCCTATTAAACAAGAAGATGTAGAAAAAATTGTTGATAGTGTTATTGAATTATATGAAATTAGAAATGATACATTAGACAGTGAAATTAATGCAAAAACACAAACACAAAAAAACACTAAAGAATTTGAAGAGTTACAACAAAAAGATAGAGTGATAATATGGGAAGAGTATTGTAAAATATTTGAACAACTTGAAGAGAAGAATGTAGCAAATAATGATAATAAGAACGTCGTTGAAAATTTAGAAGAAATTGGGAATGGACTTAGTGTGTTAGAAAAAGTGATTAAAGAAAAAAAAGAACAAATGAGAAAAGAAGATGAAAGAAAAAATGGAATTAATGTATGGGAAGTATTATATAAACAATGGGAAACAATATTACCAAAAACAATTAATCTTTTTAATCAATTAATTGAATTACAAAAAAGTATTGTTGAATACGAAAAAAGTCATATTGAAATTACAAGACATAGTCATGAACAATTAGCTTCTGCAGAAGAACTTATTAAAGTTTATGAATGGTGTCTTGGAGTAGATGAAATTAAAACATATGAAATGGGAGGAGATATTAATAAAATTATTGAAAGAGCAGAAGAGTTAATAAAACAAATACCAGTAATTGAGAAATCAATGCAATACGTTACTGATAAATATACAAAAGATAGAGAAAGTTATAGATCAATTAGATTGATTATGGCACCATTAAAAAAAGGTAAAGGATTATTTGATCAAGTAATAAATAAAGAAACTATTTTACAAGATGAAGCATTACTTGGAGAAAAATTATTTGGAGAATTATATAGAAGAGCAGCAAATATGGGATCATGGAAACAAGTATTAATAAAAAATTATAGTAGAATTCAAGTTATTCAAAAAGAAGAAAGAAGTAAAAATGAAAAACGAAATGAATATTCTAAATATGTTAAAGTAATTGTTAAAGCAATACAAAAAGGACAAATTACTAAAGAATTATTAACAGTTGCAGAAAAAGCAAAAGAGTTATCACAAGGAGATGATGATATTCAAAAATTATGTGAACCAAATGATTTAAAATTAATTCAAGAATATAGTATGAAAGATGAAATATTTGCATTATCAATTGGTTTAAAAAGAGAAACAGAAAAAGATAGTACAATTAAAACATTTAAAGAAAAATTTATTGATGAAATTGGATTATTAGAACAATATGTTAAAATGATTTTGGATGATCTTAGAAATCTTAGAGAAATGCTTAAAGAACAAAGTGCAGAATTAATTAATGAAAAATATCTTTCTATTGCAGAAAAATATAAAGAAAGTTTAGAATTACATCTTACATGGTATGAAAAATTAATTGTTAATCAAGAAAAAAGAGATAATTTTGTTGAAGCAGGAGTTGCATGTGTTCATATTATTAATTCAGTTTATAATGTACTTAGAAAGAATAATATTATTAAAATCGATTTAAATATTGATTGTCTTAAAGAAATTACTGTTGATTTCTTTAATGTATTTAATTCTCGTTATTTAAATAATTCTAGATTTTTAAATCAACGATTCTTATTAAAAATGGTAATTCAAGCTGCTGATGCATTTAAAAAACAAAATTTACAACATTACGCTATTACTTTATTTAATTTTATTATTCCATATTGTGCTTCAACCCATGACTTTAAAGCATTGTCTGCATGTCATTCAAGTGTTACAGAATTGTATCAACAAATTATTGAATTAAATACTTATGTAGGATTCTTTTATAGAGTATCATTTTATGGTCAAGCATTTACAAATATCTTTGGTCAACAAAATGATGCTTCAGTAAATAATATTCATAAAACACAAAATTTATTTGAATATGTTTATAGAAGTTCATTAAGATCAGGTGAATTTGTTGAATTTATGAAAAATTCATACAAACGAACACCAAGATTAATTTTATTAACAAAAAGTCTTTCTAATTTAGAACAATTAAACCATGAAGATAATTATATTTTTGTATCTTCTGTTTCTCCATGTACAGAAGAAAAAAAGATTATTGATAAATTTATTTCAACAAATATATTTGCAAGTGAAATATCATTTACTCTTGATGGTGCTAAATTAGATGAATTGTCTAAAGTTTGTAAAAAAAGAACAATTATGACAACTAAGAAAAATCTCCCTTCTGTACTTGAAAGAGAACCTATCATTTCTACAGAAGAAGTTATTCTTACTCCTATTCTTTCTTGTATGGATGATATTGAAAAACAAATTGAAAAAGTAGCTTTAATTATTGAAAATCCTAACTCTATTGCTAATAAAATCCCTCAACTTCAAAGATTATTGATGGGTATTCTTTGTGCTAATGTTAATGGTGGTTTATTTGCTATTTGTAATACTTTCTTTAGTGAAGAAAATATTAATAAATATTCTGCTGAAGACGTTGATAATTTATATACAATGGTTATGAGATTAGTTGATCTTTGTAAAACTGGACTTGCAATTCATAAGTCTTCAATGAAATTGGAATTTGCTAACTTACAAAATGTTATGGAACTTGGTCTTGTTTCTATTGAAAAATCTCTAAGAGAAAGTGGAATGATTGTTGATGCTTATGTAAGACCTATTACAGAAGAAGAAAAATAATTAAATTCATTTTTTTTTTAAATCTTGGTTGGTTTTTACTATTTGAATTTGTTATTGTTTTATTTCTTTTAATTAATTATCATACAATTATAAATTCTTTATTGTTTGTTCTTTGTTTTTATTATATTTCAATTAATACCGAAACAAATCCATTCTTAATTTCTTTGTATTAGTTAATGTTATTGACTAATTTTCTTCCTTTATTTGTTTTTCATTCTTTTCATAAAATGCATTTATTATGAAGTATTAGAAACAATTTTCTCTTATAATAATATTTTATTATTTCTTTGATGATTTTTTTTGTTCTAATGATACTTCTCAAAGATCTTTTGTATCACTAATTAAATAAAGTCTTTAAAAACAAAAAGTATGATAAATAACAATGAAATAACATAACAATGAATAAAATTTAATAAAGAGACAGATAACTATTATGAAAATTACCAAAAAAAAAACTAGTTTACTACAAAAAAAGAATTAAATAAATCATTGAAATAACAATCTAAAAAGGAAGATATACTTTTTTAGAAGTTATATTACATTTTACCTAAACCAATAAACTGGAAACGAGGACATCTGTGTTTAATAAAAGAAAAAGATATATTTAGACCATCTTTTTTTCTTTGTTTTTCCAGTGCAACAATACATTTATTAAACTTTGCAACATGAACTCTTTGCCATCTAATTTTTTCATCATAAGTAGAATTAGAACAATGAATTCCTGCTTGATTACAATATTCTTGAAATAAAACCTTTGATGATATACTTGGATATTTATTAATAAGTACTACTTCTTTTTTATTTTGAATAAATGTTTTAAATATATTAACAAATAAGTCGTATTGAACTTCAAAAATAAATAATGGGGTAATTTTAACAACTTTATTAGTAGTAATTTTATACTTCTCATCTTTTGGAATATCATTTAAAAAAATTAGAACCTTTTTATAAATTTCATCAGTCATTGGTTCAGTAACTTTTCCTAATGAATTAGTTCTTTCTTTTTTAGTCAATAATGGTATAAGTAAATATGTATTCTTTATGTCTATTGGTTTTGTTTCAGAAGAAAATGAATGTTTAAGATTCAAATTTTTTTCATTGTATAGATCATCATGTAAATATTCTTGTTGAATAAATAATTCTGGTTGTTTTTTAAAATTTGTTTTTATTTCAGTTAATGTTTCTAATTTTTCTTTCTCATTTAATTGTTTATCATTTTCTAATTGATTAAGTTTATTCTCTAAATATCTTTTTTTATATTCTAATTGTGCACATTTTTTAGTTTCTTTTTGAACTGATTCACTGAGACTATTATTTTTCATCTCCATTTCTTTAATTAATCTTTTATTTATTTCTTTCTCTTTGAGAAGATGGATAGTCTCATCTTTTAACATTTTTAATTCTTTTTCATTTATTAACATATGAATATATTCTTCAACAGAGATAGTTACTTTTTGTGACATCTTATTAAAACAAACTAATTCTAGATACTCTGAAATTATTAGAATAGTTATCTTCTTTCTTTTCATTTTCCTTCTTTTTTAAAATGGATACTTAAAAAATGGTTACATGGTTTCAAGAAGTTCATATAGCAAAAATAATCTTCAGACTAACCCCCAACTTGAAAAATTTTATTAAAAAATGAAAAAAGGAAAAAATTTCGATAAATTCCATTAATAGAACAATCCTTAAACGACAAAAAAATTTAAACTGTTTTAATTCGATTATTTTTGAACCTTTTTAGCGATGCGTAATGCATTTTCTACTGTTTTTATATCTTCACAAACAATTTCAGTTCCTGTTCTATCACAACAAATTACTCCATTTCCAATAATATTTTTTAATTCATATCCATACATTCCTCTCCATTCTTTAGGCCATGAAAAATTAGGTTGTAATCTATCTTTTACAACTCTTCCAATATATTTATTATTCTCTTTTTTTACTACAACTAGTGTAATTTTATTTAATGATGCCATTTCACATAAACTTACCCAATCAGCTTCTTGATCATCAATAAAAACAATTTCTTGTTTAAAATATGATGCTGGATATTTTTTTACTGTTGGTCTCCAGTTTATTAATAATCTATAAAATGATTTAACTAATTCTAATTTACATATTGTAAGTCCAATGTCAAAACCTCCTCTCAATTCATTTAAATTACTAATAACATTTTTTAATGAGTCCATACCTTCAATATAATTTTGTTCTTTTCCTCTTGGACATCCATTATCTTCTGCATCAATTGAAACAAAATAAAAAAAATACCATTTATTCATAAACCATTTTATTTCTTCTTCATCTTCAAATACTGTGTGTGGACCTTTACATAATTTTATTATAATTTCACGTCCATAATATTTATATATTAATCCTGCTGATGAAAATAATGTAGGTGATCCTTCCCATCGTTCGTTAAACCCTTGTTGATGATGGTCAAATAAATGATGCTCTACATTAAATTCTTTTCCTACGTCAACAACTACATCACATTCTTTTAATATTGAACTATCTCTTGTTCTTCTAATTTTACTCCCCATAAACTCTTTTGTAAGTAAAAGAATAACACATGAAGTAAGTTCGTCACAATGAAAAAGACCATCATGTGTTCCTATTATTTTAGATTTCATTATATTTATAAGTTTATTATTTTGTTATTCAGTTAATTTCTTATTTGTGTAATATAAAACATAATTCTTTTTTTTGATTCTTCACTATTCTTGTTGTTTCTTCTTTTGTTTTAATCATTTGTATCAAAGTCATCATTGAACTTACAAGTCATCTACATTACTAATGCAATACCAACAAAAAGAAATGTGAACTTTTCTAGATGTTCTTTTACTCTATTCAGTTGGAAAAAGCATTAATTTTTACAATATTGTTAATGTTCTTTAACATTTAAATGTTAAAATAAATAAAGGATGGGTTTTATTTCTTGAAAAAACAGTTAAAATCAATAACATTGATAACTATATTGAAAAATCATTAAATCAACAAAAACAATATAAAGTTATTAATTAATGAAGAAAATAATATTATCCAAAGTCAAAAAATAAAGTTTTGAAAGATAATATCCAAAAACCAGAAGATGATAACTTCTTTGAATCTGTTTGGAGAGAAGATCTCCTTCTAATTGAAACTCTTTTAATTATTATTAAATTAAAGTATTTTAAAACAAAAGAATAAAATTGTAATGTAGCAATTCAAATATTTCTTACAATAAGAAAGAAACAAAAAATATTTCATTAAATTAAAAAGAAATTAAAAAACAAAAAAGATAAATTTAAAAACTGACAAATATAAGTCAGGAATAGAAGTTCTACATCTAACTATAAAATAAACAACATTTTACAGAATGGTTTATACCTGAGTTGGATTGAATAAGGTCATATAAAAAGAGGGTTATCAAAAGCTAAAAATTGTAATATAATGTTCTTTACTTTGATAGCTCTCTCTTGTGTATGTTCTGCTTTTACATATGATGAAGAAGATTTGTTAGCATTTGATGATTATCTTGAAGATCTTGATGATTTTGTGGATATGGAAGAAGATTGGAGTCTTGGAGGAATTCAAGAGAAATTCAATAATGTTGTTAATAAAGTAAATGATAAAATTGATCAATTCCAGAAAAAAGGAAAAGAAATGGTTAATAACATTAATCAAAAAGTTGATAAAGCTCAAAATACTGTTAATAATTTTATTAATAAAGGACAAAAATTTACTGACAAAGTTCAAGGTGGATTTAATAAAGTTATGAACTTTGGTAAAGGTGTTGTTGGTATTTTCAATAAAGATGCTGCTAAAAAGATGGATGATTTCCAAAAGAAAACTAATAATGCTGTTGATAATGCTCAAAGTAAAATTGCTAATGCCCAAAGCAAAGCAAATAATATGATTGATAAAACCCAAAGTAAAGTAAAAGAAGTTCAAACTAAAGTTAATAAAGGACTTGACAAAGGACAAGAAATAAGTAGAAAAGCCCAAAATAAAGCCAATAAAGCTATAAACGCTGTTGGTAATGCTGCTAAAAAAGTTGGAAAATTCTCCGATAAAATTGGAAAAACAGCAGATAAAATAGCTAATGCTGCTGGTAAATTTGCTGGAAAAGGTGGAAAACTTGGAAAGTTTGCTTCTGCTATACAAAAGGGTGCTAGTGGAGTTTCTAAAGCTGCTGGTAAAGTTAATCAAGTCAGTAAAAAACTCAGTGATACAAAAGGAGGTAGTAAATCAAGAAAACATGGTGGAAGTAGTGGTAGTTTTAGCAAACGTAAGCCTTCAGGACGTTCAAAAGCTAGTTCACCAAAAAGAAGTGCACCAAAAAGACAAGCCCCAAAGAGAAGTGCACCAAAAAGACAAGTTGCAAAAAGAAGTGCTGGAAAGAGAGGAAAGAAATAAAATTTGTTAATTTACATTTTCTATTCAATATTTATTTTTAATTACTTTTTCTTATTTATAATTTGTTTTCCTCTTAAATTAAAAAGAGTATAATAAATATGGATATAGTTAAAAATAGTAGTTTTAAAACAAATCACTATTTTTAATTTAATCCTTTTTTAAATATTTAAATTTATTTGTATTTAACTCAAATTGTAATGTTTTATAAAAAACAATTGTTCATCATTTTACTAAAACAAATATTTCTTCTAATAATAATTTCATGACATATATTTAGTTTATCAAATTATCGTTACTAAAACAAACGTTATAGTATAATAAATTAATTGTAAATTTGATAACAATAAACTTATTGATTTAGTGTTATACCAACAAAGACAAACATTTCAGTACTTTGTTTTTTCTTTTATTTAAACAGATACTAATAAAAACAATGAATAATTAATTTCATTAAGATATCAGTTAATTATTTAAAATTATTTTCTTTTTTAAATAAAAGAAGTTATTTTAATGAAAATATTTATGATAAAATAACGAAAAAAATTATTGAATTAAAGAGTAATCAGAACCAGAATGACGTTTTTTGTAAATAATGATTGAAATAACCACAACAACAACTAACAATACTAAGATCAATGCCCCTCCAACAGAACACCCAATAATAATGTATAACATAGTATTATCGTTTGTCGAATTACCTGAAGAAGAGGAACTTTGTTGAGAAGAACTTCCTTCTGATGGTTGTGGGTCTGGTTGTTGAGAAGAGTCAGTAGATTCATCTTTAGACTCACAAGTATCAATAATGCATTTTTGGTTATAAAAATCAAATTTATATCCTTTATCACAATAAGCAGCAACACATTGATTACTCCATTTACCATCATCACCACATTTAAATCCTCCATGTGCATGTTCCATAGATATTTGTTGATCACATTCTTTAGAATATTTAACTAATCTTTTATTATTTGGATTACATTCACTTTGATATTTAGTATGAATGTCTTTTGCTTTGGTTATAAATTGTCCGAGTTTATTGTCAAAGAATTTATATAAATTAACTCTTTCATCAACTGGATGAATTAAAAATTCTCTTGGAATTGTTTGATTAAATGAATAATCCCAAGCAAATGTTTCTATGAATGAAATTCTCATTTCACCATTAATACTTTTTAAGTTATCAGCTTCAGGAATCTGAAGTTCATTTTGTGTTACAACTGCTGTTGGTGAATTACCTGCATCAAACTCTTCAATTTTTCCATTTGGATCTCCTTCATATCCAACAACAATAGCATTACCTTGTTCTACCATTGCTTTAGTTAATACACTACATGCAGAATAACAAAATCCATCAGTCATAACAATAATATCTGTTGGATTTCTTGGATGTTTTTCTAATGTATTTTTAATTAAATCCATTGAATGAATAATTGATTCTTGAGTACGTTTATGTTCTACTGTTCCATATAGAGTAATTTTTGGTGAGTTATACCATTCTCCTAAGTCATTTGAGTTAGGATTAGAGCTATTAAATCTTTCTTGACAATTTTCTGGGTTTTGGAGATAACTACCATATCCATATTTGATACATCCTTCTGTTCCTTTTGAAATTCTCATTGACCCAATCATATCAGAATCTCCTTGTGGGGCAAATGTATCTTGTACACTTGAAACAAGATCACCAGATCCTCCTCCATTCATTGGAAGAATTATAGTAATTGGATATTCATTGTTGTCAAATGAACTAATACAACTATTCATAACTTCACCAAAATTCATAACTTCTTCAACAGGATAGAATGTTTTTAGTATCATAACATTCATCATCATATCATTATCAATTTTACAAGCTAAGTTACCATCTAATGATTGATAATCATATAACCCTGGATTATTTCTAATTGGGCTATCAACAAAATCATCAATAGTTATAATAGCATCATTATAGCCATTTCTTTTACCATTAATTCTTTTTTGTTTTTCTTTACTTAGTGTTTCTAAAGGAATGTAAAGAATACTGTAATTGATACTCACTGTTTGGTTATTAGAATAAGTGACTTTAATTGGCTCTTCTAATACGCTTTTATCCATTACAGTTCTTCTCAATTCAATAAAACTCATTGTCTCTAATGCATAAGTAAATCTACCATGAGGTGTTTTAAGAAATGTTTGTTCAGAAGCAAATTTTCTAATAAAATCCATTGGAGACATATCATTAATACTAACAACAGGAATATTAACATTGTCAATAATAGTTTGTGGGATTTGAGAGTCAAATGTTTCATAATTTGGGTTTTTATAAAGAACAACTTCATTATCAACAATGTCTGGTATAAACGGTAACACGGCATACATAAAATCATAGTAATAATGGTTATCTTTATCAGATGATAATCTAAATGAAAGATGGTAATCATGAGCATCATTTATTATTGATTGAACCTCTTGCATAAATTTGTATAAAGACGTCTCTTCTAATGAAAGGTTTTTAAGTCGTTCATCAATATCAACTGTAGTATAAAACTCTTTATTAAATGAAGGTTGTGGTGGTGATTTTAAAATGTCTTTGTAAACGTATGTCTCAAATAAAACTTGAAGTGTTTCTTGAACGTATTGTGTAAATGTATTATTAATTTTAACTGATTCAATACATTCAAAAGCATCGCTAACACTATACATTTTATTTGGTAATAATTCTTTACATTGAAGGGCTGATGTAAGTGTAACAAATAAGAGAAGCAACATACTAAAAATTAAAAGAAGAGTTCAGATTTTTCAAAGAGATTAGATTTTTCGTTTAAATTAAATTTAAATAATAAAATTAATAATATATTATTTTTATTTTTTTTCTTTTTAATTTGTTAGTTTTTGGCATTTCCAATAAAATAATTGAATTCTTTTCGAAAAATATATGTTTCCTTTTATCTTCAATCCTAAAAACTGCAACACAAACACTTTTTAATCTATTTATTTCACAAAAATACTTCAGATAGCTTGTTTACACTTTTTTTCGACTGTTATGATTTGTTTTTTGGTAAATAGAAAAATATTTAAGTTTTTTTCCTTTTATATCTCATTTTCATATTCTAAGTTTTATTAGTTGATTCTTTATTTGGTTTTGTAAGTTAGAATAAAGTTTATTCGTTTAAGACACGTACACAGAAAATTAAAACATAAAAAAGATAATAAATAGTTAAAAAGAAAAGACTCAAAAGGTGAGGTAATTTTTTTTTGTCTAATTATTATTTTTTTTCTTCGCTGTTATGGGGGTATTTCCTTTCTCCCCTCATTTTAACATATTCTTTCTTTGTTTTTTTTATTTTTTGGTTGACGAATGGGTAGAATTATTTCATCATACAAGATAAATAATTCATTTTTCATTTTAATTTTTTCGATAACATCATTACTTTTTTAAATATTCGTAAAAAATAAGATTTTTAGAATTATAATATATTTTTTTTCTTATTTTTTGAGATTTAGAATAAAATGATGGAATTTGAGAACACCACTAATATTATACATCAAAGATCTCCCTTTTTTTTTTAGAAAACTATTTTCTTAATGATATTTATCATATAATAAAGCTTATTATTTTGTACTTTTAGTTTTTCTAAAAATCATTAAAATGATTCAATGGTTTAAAAAGGTAGAACTTGAACTTTTTTCATTATGTTTTTTCTTTTAATATCTGTTAATATATTGTGTGGTGTTCTATCTGAAATTAATTCTTTTGGTATATACTATAACCATGACATTAACATTGATTATCAGGATTATACCGACACTCCTGAATATTTGGAAGAGTTAATAACTGTTCTAAAAGATATGTTTAGAATTACTCAAAAAGATTTTACTAAAGTATTTTTAGATATGCTTAAATGCCTCGCGAAAAATAGTGAGGTCCCAAGAGAAATAAGAGAAGTGTTAAGTGTTATCATCGAAATTAAAGGTCTATTAAATGATTTATTCAATACATATATTATTGGAAAACAATTATTTGTAGGTGTTGATTATTCACAAATAAAGTTATTAAAGGATAAGCTAAAAAAATCACTTATTAGTGTTATAAAAAGAATAAATAGATTCAAGAAATTAATGAATGTAAAAAAGAGTGATGAAAATAAATACACAAAAATGGTCTCTTCTTATTTATAGGGATTAGAACTAAAGTAAACTGAGGTTATCTAATTAAAATTTTATTTAACCATGGTTCTGTTAACTGTTAATTCTAAATAATTCTTTTATTTCAATTATAAATATATTTTTAGACTATCATTTTTAAATATAGAAAGTTTGTGAGTCAAAATTTCATTAAAAGATATAAATTCTGATTCATATAAAATGAATTTTTTGATTCTTACTAAGAGATATTTTATAAAAATAATAGAAATGAAAATAACATGAAATAACACATATAAAGAAGAAAAAAGGATGAATAAAATAACAAAGCGAAATGAAAAGGAATTAAAATATAATCATTTATAAATTATTTTTATTTCAAACCATTTTATTTGTTATTGTTTTATCTATATTGTTTCATTAGTTGCTATTTATTATAAATAATTTCTTGGTATTATTTATTCATTTTTTTTAAATCTTTTTTACAACCATATCATAAAAATACTCCAATCAAAATGATTTAATTAACTATTGAATAATGATTAATTTTAATGACAAATATGTATTAAAACATTGGTATTTTATTTCACAAATTGTTGTTGGAACATTAATTGGTGTTAGTGATGAACAACTTTTATGATATTAATGTTTATAAAGAAAATAATAAAACAAAATCATATTTGTGATTAGTGTTCATTTTTAAAGAAAAGAATAACAAATATATTTTATGGAAAACAATATCCAGATAAATTTATACCACAACGAATCATTGAAATTGAAATAGAATGACTCATGCTTTGTTGTCATGTTTTATTTGAAATAGAAATTAAAAAAAGGGAATATGAATAGCTACACTCACTTCCCAATTAAGAATTAATAAAGTAAGTTTCAACGAGTCTTGAGGTTTCTATTTCATTTTGATTAGGGAAGGTTAACTCCAGTAGCTCATTCTCTTTTAAATAATGCTCATTGATACTTCTTTCGCTCTATATTCACCTCAACGATTATTCATTTATCAAATGATAGAAATAGCAAATAAAGAAAGAAACAGAACTCAATTTATATTTTATCTCTTCTTATTTCACATGAATAAATTATTAAAAAAAGATACACTACAGAAGGTATGACAACAAATATATATAAAAAATTGAGACAAAGATGTACAATAAATAATATCAGTCAAGAGATGAAAATGATAAAAAATGAATGAAAATAGAAACTGTAAGAGAAAATGATGATGACAATTACAACTATAAAAATTCATTAGTA